GCGCCCGGGCCATCACCCTGATGCCGTCCTCCGAGAAATCAAGGACCTCTGCAGACCACACACACACACCCACACACCCGCACACACGCACGCACGCACGCACGCACGCACGCACGCACACACACACACACACACACACACACACACACACACACACACACACACACACACACACACACACACACACACACACACACACGCACAGAAGGCCCAGACAGGTGCACAGGACCTACAATTTCCACACTTTTGTTATCCCTTGTCCCGAAAAAATAATTGATCATATAATTTTTCTCTAGCTAAATAATGAAAACGGGTCCCACAGACCCGAACACCATACACGGGTTAAACAACAATGGGTGTTATATACTTGTGAAGGATTGGTTTAAATTCAAAGAGCTTAACAAATAAAAGACAAATGCTTTACAAAAAAAAAATCTAAACGTTTCTGAACTGTTTCTGATAACGTAAATTCCTACATTTCCCCCAAAAGTACCTTCCCACTTTGCGGTCATGTTGTGTCCCTTGGTTGTGTCTTTGTGTCTATTTGCAATCCCAGATAAATCAGACAAGTACAAATTGAGGCGTGAAGATTTTAATATGAAAATAACAGACATTGGTTTAATAAAGTCTTTCCACCATTTGTGTTTCTCTGTCTAAAGTCAAGTAAAGCTGAAAAGTATTAGTTTTATGAAGCTTACCGTAAGCAACAATTCAGTTATTGACAGTCATTTCTTTTTTATATATATATAAGTGTCAGAATAGTGTTTTGGATTATTATAGGTTTGAAGGAAAATGGAGGTAAGAACATTTTCAATTCATGTATAACTGACAGTATGGGGGCATTCACGTTCATTTATTTTTATTATGTGAAAAGGAAAACTACCTTTCTAGCTAACAGTGTTTTACAGCACATACATTTGACAATAATCCCTCTTCATATAATAAACCAATTTCATTTTTCCATGAACTCAGATGAGTTTTGTTTATATGTTCCGTTTTACTCCTGAAATATTTATGCCGCATTTTACACGCCGTCTTTGAAAAATATACATTTGAACGAGTTTCATGGGAGTACTTGAACGCAGCATTTGTTATGGCTTCACTACTGGTTAGGCTAAACATATGACATACTAGCCGTTCCGGTTATGAATTTCAAAATGAAACTCGAAAAATCCAACGAGCCAAAAAACTAATTATAATTTCAAATTATAATTACATTATATTTGTATGCATACGTATTTTTTTTGAGTAAATTCCTATTTTTAATACGTAATTTACATATTACAAGATTTCACTCGTTTTATATACAATATTCCTTCCATCTGTTGTATCCTCCTTTTACTTTGTTAACACACACCACCTAACTTCCGGTTATGTCCTGTTAACTTGACTCTGACTCCAATGGAAGCTTCGTCTCGCGAACCGAAGGAAACAATCGATTCTGATTTAAGCTTTAAAAATAGGAGCATTATTTAATTAAACCAGTAAACTAACTACACATTAAACATTTCATCTGAGTCTGTCTGCCCGCCTGTGTGTTTCAAACCCGCTGATTCACCGTTAAAAGGTTCCGTTGGGCCTTGTTTATAAACTGAGAAACAGGCCGGAGGATCTTTAGAAAACCAAGTAAGTGTTAACATATATATATATACATATAATCACCAGTTGGTGTTAGTGCCCTGTTATAAAACTGCTGATGTTTGTATGTGTGCCTCGTGGAGCCACATTGTGTCACCTTTTAGTTATTGTTATTAATATATTATTGTTAGCCGTTAGCCCGAAGCTAGCTCCAGTCTGCTGAGTTTCATGCTAAGCTAACGGCTAGCGTCACTAACAACTGGAGATAATAACGTTAATAGTGATTTTGTAACAAAAATGTCACCAGGTTTTAATGTTTGCTTTGTCCTATACAGTGTATGGGTTTGTCTTCCCTCCATTAGTTCGTTTTCTTTATGTCATATCAATCATATTTCCCCTGCTAGCATCACAGCTGATAGCTTTAAGTTTCTGTTGTTCAGTCTGTTAACAAAAACACATCAACATAGTTGGTGAGTAGAACTTTCATGAAAGCCTTTCTGATCCACTTTGTCAAAGCAGATCAGAATCCCTTATTTTCATTTCAAACCTTTATTTAACCAGGTAGGTCCCATTGAGATCATTGGTCTCTTTTTCAAGGGAGACCTGCAGCAAGTAGCAGGGTTCCTACGGTCATTGAAAACCTGGAAAAGTCATGGAAATTCAAAATGCTAATTCCAGGCCCTGGAAAAGTTAAGGAAAACAATATTTTCCCCAACGTTTTGGAAAAGTCATGGAAATGTAACTAAAGTTGCATCAAATATAATTTATATTTTATCTAATCGCCGAAATAGTAATACTATAATAATAAATACTGTATCGTAATGAAACT